GGGGACGGGGAGGCAGCTGCCCGCAGGCAGGGGACAAAGCCAGTGTCAGGCCAGCAGGCCCAGCGCCTTCCCCTCAACTGCTTCCCTGAGCCGGAGACCCACAGGGCACCGCGGGCCTCCCCGTGCCCACGTGCTGCCTGACTGGCCACATCTACCCGGTGAGGGCGGAATCCTCCGCCCCATGGGCTGGTGACCCGCTCAAGGTCACACAGGAAGTGGGTGGGAGCTAAACGTGGATACAGGGGCCACTGAGTGCTGGGAACAGACGTGCTCCACTGCATGTGCACAGTACAGGCGCACCCGTGCACACCCCTGCACACCCGTGCACACGGCCCTGCCCGCCCAGGACAGCCAGCTCCTCCGGCGGACCAGGGCTCCTGCCCTCCCTCCCGTCAGGAGGGTGGCACCACAGGGCCCAGGCCCTGCACAACTGCCCCAGGAGATGACACCTAGACCATGCTTCCTGGCTTGAGGGGCCAGGTGAGCGTCAGGCCCCGGGGTTCCCACCCAACATTACCTGCGAGGCTGGGTCGGGGACCAGGTGTCCTGTCAGGCTGCACAGGAGTCAGGGTGATGCGGATGCCACTGTCGGAGCTCCCAGGGGTCTTCAGGGGCACACGACCCGCCCTCAGCTCCCCAGGGCCCTGCGGCTCCTGCGGCTCCTTCAGCTCCAGGTCTCTGGATGGAAGGCAGGTCAGCTGAGGGAGGGCCAGGCAGCGCGTGCAGCCACGGACGAGGACCGCCTGCTGTGCGCTGGGGCTCCCGCACCTGCCCGCCTGTGACCCTCCTAGAGCACAGCTGTGTGTTTACACGGCACCCCTTCAGCAGGGGTGAGCACGTGCGCACGGCTGGTGCACACACCCACCCAGGCCAGGACCCCCGCTGCCCACCATGCATGGCCTGCCACCGCGCACAGGTGGCCACTCTACACAGCTGGCTCTGGAGCCCCGTGCCCAGTGACCAGGGCGCGCCGCCCGGCCTGCGGCACCTCCAAGGGGGGCTGCAGTGGCACTCTGTCCTTTCTCGTCCTGATGAGCTGCCTGTGGGAGCCGCCCTCCCCCACTGCCAAACTGGCATGCCGGTCAGGCCCACCGAATGCGTTCCTGTCCCTCGGCCACCAAGTCTGGTTCACATGAGTGAGGGTCCCAGGGCCCTGATGGACCATCCGCAGCCGCCCACCCTCCTGACTTCCCCGTTACACAATGGGAATGTGGCTGTGTCACTCAGGCCCCTGTAAACTGTCCCCTCTCACTTAGGCTGCTGTGAGCTGTCCTGTCACTCAGGCCCCTGTAAACTGTCCCCTCTCACTTAGGCTGGTGTGAGCTGTCCTGTCACTCAGGTCCATATGAACTGTCACCGGTCAATCATGCTGGTATGAACCATCCCCTGTCACTCAGGCTGGTGTGAGCAGTCCCCTGTCAGGCCCGTGTGAACTGTCACCTGTCAATCATGCTGGTATGAGCCCTCCCATCCCTCAGGCCGCGGGAACTGGCTTCTGCTACTTCAGCTACAATGCACAGGCGACAAGCACACCCTGCTTGCAGGGTGTCACTCAGTTGATGTGTGTGTGTGCCGCCTTTCACCCGCAAGCATTTGTGGAGCACCTGCTGCGTGCTAGGCCCTGTGCAGCCCGAGGACACGGGCTCCTGCTCAGGCTCCCCTAACAGACACAGGCTCTGGTCCAGGAGTGTGAGCCCCAACACAGCCCCTCCGCCCGCCCCTCACCTCTCAGCAGGGCTGTTCTTCACGGGCTTCAGGCGGCTCCTCCATCCTGCCGGCCCATCCTTCTGGCCGTCCTGGGGGCTGGCACTAGGGCCTGGGCAGGGCCAGGGAGAAGGGTCATATTGGGGGTGAGCCTGATAGGGAAGCCTGGACCTCACCTGTCCCGTCTTCCTACAGCTGCCCCCCTCAGCTGCCCCACAGCCAGCCGAGGTCACAGGAAGGAGCACTGGTGGGAGTCGGGCAGAGGACTTCCAGCCTGGCCGCCCGTGCTGTGTGTGCCTGGGGGAATCACACCCCGTCTCCGGACCTCAACTTCCTCTGCTGCCAAACAGGCAAGGGCATGTCCGGTTAGCCCCGTGGACGCTGACTGTCCATGCCTCTGTGGGTCGCCGCCTACACCCCATGCCCCTCACTCGTCCACATAAGGGGAGCTCCTACCCTTTGCCAGTGGGGCCTCCAGCTTCTGCCTGGAGCCAGCACCTGTCCTGCCGGCCCCTGGGGACACCTCCGAGCCCTTCATGCCTGCCTGGGGCGATGCGGAGGCCCTCGAGGTGGTGCCCACACTCAGGGGGGCCTGTGGCTCTGTCCGTGCAGGGGGGCTCAGGGCCTGGGGAGACGTCGACTGTGACAGCTTGGCAGATGGACTTGCTTGTAGCCCTTCTATTCTGGGATGGCAGTTTGGAGCAGGGGTGGTGGCTGGGGAGGGCCTGTGGGTGTGAGAGCGGGCGTCAGGCACGGGTGGACCCAGGAGCCCTCCCACCATGACCCCCAGGCAGAAGCCCCTTTGGTGGCTGGTTCCCAATGCCCAGTGTCCTGTGGGAAGGTAGACAGCCCCTCTGAGGGACTAGGGACAGGCCACGGGCATACACTTCTGGCACTGGCATATGTTGGCTTTACCCTTCTGTTTAACTCTGGTGTTGGAGGAGATTAAAATGCCCCCAAAACACATCATGCATGTGTTGTGTGGCTGAGGGCTGCTGCCCAGACCCTCCCTCCTCCGCCCACCTGCTTAGAGCCATGGTCTGGCCTGGGCCTGCCTAGGTCACTGTCCTGACTCTGTGGCCACCCTGGGAGCCCCTGGGCACCTCCGCTCACCCAGTGCGGGCTGGGCAGCTCTGAGCTGGGAATGCCGCCCCCCAGATAGAGGCAGCACGAGGCAGTGGGCACCACATTTTCAGCCAGCCTGCTGTGGAATCTCCTTACTCGCTAGGCGACTGGAGTGAGGTGAAGGGGGTCCCCTAAAATTCATGTCCACCTGGCAGCTCAGAGTGTGACCTTATTTGGAAATAGGCTTTGTAGGTGTAACCAAGTTAGGATGAGGTCGTCCTGGACTAGGGCAGGCCTAAATCCAATGAGAAGTGTCCTTATAAGAGACAGAAAAGCAGACACATAGACATACAGAGGGGAGACGGCCACGTGATGAGAGGCAGAGACGGGGGATGTGGCCACAAGCCCAGGGACGCCCGGGGCCACCAGAAGCTGGAAGAGGCAGCGAGGACCCTCCCCTAGAGCCTTAAGAAGGAGTGTGGCCCTGCCGACGCCTGGATCTCAGACTTCTGGCCCCAGAACTGAGAAGGGATGAATGTCTGTTGGTTTCGCCCCCCGTCAGTCGCTGGCACTTTGTCCTGGCAGCCCCAGGACACTAACATGGAGACCCTCCATCCCGTCACAGCGTCTGCTCACCGTCCAGTGTGCAGAGGCTCTGGGTGGGCACTGGGGCGTGGGCAGGGGCGGCTCAGAGCTCCGCTCGGGGCAGGCAAGCTGACACTTGGACCACCCCCAGCCTCTGCTGCCTCATCTGTTAAACAGGTGTCGTCAGTAGGACTGAGCGTATGCCTCGGGGGGCCTCGGGGGGCAGTGTCACTCTACCTGAGTCCCCCACCCAGAGCGTGCAGACAGTAGCTTTACACTGATAACCGTGTCCCCCTCCTGCTGACCACCAGGCACTTCAGCTCCCGTCTCATTCGCCCCATTTTCCAGATGAGGAAACTGAAGCTGGGGCATGAAGTCCCCCCGTCACACAGCCAGATGGGGCGGAGCTCGGGACCCTTCCCAGACACCCCCAATCCCTCAGGCCTCCTGGGGCCCCAGTGGCTGCTGGGCAGGTGAGGGCCACACCCCCAGTCCCTCCTTCCCACCCACCTGCCAGGAGCCTGGTCGCAGGCTTCCACAAGCACTGGAAGGGCCTTCCGGAGGCAGCTCAGGGCTTGCTCCCTGCTGCCAACCCCAGAAGGCGCCTGTGCTGGCGCTGAGGCCCTGCCAGCGACCGCAGTGGTGGGGGCGGCTGCGGGCGTCTGGAAGAACCTCTCCCGGGCCTGCTGTGTCCTAGAGGCCGATGGGGTCCAGGCCGGTGTGTCTGCTGGGCCTGAAGATGCTGGGCTCAAGCTGGCCTTGGTCTGGGGAGCTGACAGTTGGGGGGTTGCCTGGCCTTGTGGTATGGCCGGGCAAGGGTCTGGGGCACTCCGGGTCACAGCAGGATGGGGGCTGACTGCTGCCGTGTCCTGTGCCAGCGATGACCACCCTGTTGGGTAGTTGTTGGCCACACGCGTGCTGGCTTTGCTACCAAGGGAACCTACTGCGAGCCTGGGCCCAGCTGGGCTCCTCATAGGGACATGGAGGGAGGTGGTGGCCAGAGGGTCAGCTGCAGCAGCGATGAAGCCTTTGGCAGTTGAATTGCCCACCATGGGCTCCCAGGCGGCGGTCCTGGCCTCTGGCCAAGCATCTCTCCGCCCAAACGCTTCCTGGGCTTTCTGTGGGGTGCTGGGAGGCTTGGAGTCCATGGGGACGGCCCCTGCCTGTCTGGGGGCCAGGCCTAGCAGCCTGGGGCTTGCAGAGGCAGGTGTGGGGTGGTGGCTGGAACAGACGAAGACGCCGGGCTTGGCCGTGGCCTGGTAGGCGCCTGAGTGCAGCGTGTTGGAGCACTGCTTACACCTGGGGACAGAGGAAGCCGGGGCAGCTGTGGGCGTGTGCTCATTTCCTCACTCATGCTTTCCTGGGAGCATGCACTCAGGTATTCCTGCGTCCACTCCTGTGGTCATTCATTCATTCAACAAACACCGCTTCTCACGGTTCTTAACCATTTTGAGTCACAGATTCCACCCAGGACCTTACTAGGGGTGCAGACACCACAGAAAGCGCTTGTACCTGTCAGCTCACGTGCACGCACACACACACACACATGCACAGGCCCTACCTGAAGCAGCTCCGATGGTAGAGCTTCCCGTCAACCAGGTGTCGCTGCACGAGGTGCACGTGCCGGCCGCAGACCCCACAGGTGCTGCTGATGGAGGCGGGGGAGCTGCCCACTGAGGCCTGGCCCTTGGGAGGGGGTGCCAGCTGATGTTCCTGAGCTCTCACCGCAGGCCCTGCCCACCCTCCTAAAGCTGCCCCATGAGTGTCAAGAAGACCCTATTCTACAGATGGGAAAACTGAGGCCACAGAGGACCAGCCAGGGCTCATGGCCGGCTACTGGATGCCAAGTTCAGGGTCTCTGGCCTGGCCCAAGGAGATGAGTCTGGGGGACTGACTGTGGGGCCGGAGGTGGGGGGTCAGGTCCCCACCCCAAGATACAGAAATCCAATCCAACTCCCAACATCCCGGAGCCTGGTGTGACAGCCCGGGGACAGCAGGGGGCACCCAAGCACAAGTCTCCACCTCTGAAAAGTGGGGACACCCTAGCTCACTGAGCAGGGCGGGCCGAGCAGTAGACACACCCAGATTTCTCTTCCAGCCCCACTGGACACAGAGCAGCCAGAGGCGAGAAACCCACTCAGAGCCCAGAAAGATCTGGATTCAGGGTTCGAGCTCCGCTTGGTCTGTGGGACCTCTGGGCCTCAGTTTACCCGTCTGTACAGTGGGGATCAGATCCCAACCACACAGGACTGACGGAGCTCGGAGCCAGCCTGGCGGGCTCCTGATAAACGTGCCTGACCCAATGGGACTCCTGCCCCCTCCGGGCACCATGGTGGGGGTTACACTCAGGCCCTCCCTTCGGCCGCTCTGTGGGAGCCAGTAGAAAACCCAAGAACCAGAGGGAGGGTGGGGCTGGGCGCTTACAGCCGTCAGCGGGGGGCCCTTTGTGCCTCCATCCTTCCGCAGGACAATGGGGTTTGTGCTCACTGGAGACAGCGGGTGCCCCCGGGCTGGGGTGGGCGAGGGCCTGGCTGGCTGGGGTGCAGCCTTCTTCCCGGACAGCTCCTCTTCGGGGTCCGACGAGGGCCTCTTCACACCAGCCATGCCCCCAACTGGCAGGAGACACACAGGGTCAGAGGGCCCAGCCCAGCCCTGCACCCTGGCTCTGAGAGTATCTGGGCCAACCCTGCCTGGGTCTCCTGGAGGTGCACGTGCCCACAGGGGCCTACAGTCGGGGGAGGGGTGGGGGCAGCTCCTGCTGGCTTGGGGTTCTGCAGGGAGGGGCAGCCCCAGTCAGATTCCCAGCTGGAGCCTGGCCTCACCCACTGCCTCCCCTCCGTTCTTCCCTCCCTCGGAAACCCAGATCTGGGGTCAGAGAAAGGGGACTTTTCTATTTCTCCACAAAGTAGGAACATAAAGGCAGGGCTGGCCCGGAGCCCAGAGCGATTCCGGGGATTTCTAAGGCCTGGATGAGGAATGTGGGGGGAGGGCGGGAAGTACAAAGCAGCTGGAAGAGCCTCCCTCCCCTGCCCATGGAGCCTGGAGGCCTCCCTGCCAGGGCCAGCCTTGTTTCCACAGGGCAGAATGTCAGGACCAGACTGGGGAGGGGGGCTATCTGGAGAGGGCCTGGGAGCCCCCATGGGGTCTGCCAAGCTACTGGAGGCAGGACCCCTGGGCGCAGAGCCCCAGGGATGCAGGCAGGGCAACCGAGGCCTAGAGACGGGCGGGAGAGGCGGGAGAGGCGGGAGCTGCATGCCTCTGTTGAGTGGACAGGCGGGGGTGGGACGGCTGAGGCTGCTCCCGCAGGGGGCAGGGGCGTGTGGGGCGACCAGCTGCCAGCGCCTTGCTCCTCACTCGCAGCAGGATGAGGGGCTCTGGCCCCCTGGGAGCAGCACAGGCCTGCCTGCCAGGAGAGCTGGGTGCCGGCTGCTGGGGGTAGAGGTGGCCCCTGCCCATGGCTGCGTGCGAGTCCGAACTCACTGGGGGAGCGTCCGTGGAAGTAGTTGTAGTACTGTGACACGTAGGTTAGCACGCTCAGCCGGTCTGGCACCTTCAGAGCCACCATGTCCTCTGCATCCAGCAGGGCCGGGATACCCAGCTGCTCCTCTGCCACTTGGAAGGCCTGGAGTAGGGGACGGTCAGCAGGGAGCAGGCTGGGAGACGCCTCCTCTTCCTGGCCAGACCACCAGCTCCCCCCAGAGCGGGGATGAAGGGAGGTGAGGGCCAGAGGCAGGAGCCCAGAAAGGTCTGGATTCAAGGTTCGAGCTCGGCTCAGCCTGCGTGACCACCCTCGGCACCAGTGTACCCGTCTGCACGGTGGGGGTCAGAGCCTGACCACGCGGGACTGAAGGAGCTCAGAGCTGGTCCCGGTGAGTCTCGCCCTCGGTCTCCCCTGGCAGGAGCACGGTGCACACGACAGGCCAGGAGGCTCTGCTTCTGTGCCCATTGGACACAGATCTTATTTTGCTACAAGGACACTGAGGCTGGCTGGCATGGGGAGGGGTCTCGCAGCTCGTACCTCAGGGCAGCCTGACAGCATGGTCAGAGCCGTGTGTGTAGGGCCCTGGCGGCCGGGGCTGAGCAGGTGGGGCCTGGGCAGTGGTCCCTGGAACAGCCGGCAGCTGGCCCGTCCCAGGACCCATCCAGGGCCACCTCTGGCGCCTGCTCTGCCTTGGGCAGGAAGGATGGTCCCACCACTCCCCACCCCTTCCCTCGCCGCCGAGGAAAAGGGGACCTGGTGGGCCTGGCTGCAGATCAGAGGCTACTTTGGGGAGCTGGGGTCACCGCCAGGGAGTCCCGCCTCCACGACTCCCGTGGACGCAGGGCAGAAACAGAACTCACCAGTTTGTTGTTTTCATAAATGTTTTCCTTCCTGAGAGCACTGAAGTTTCTGGAAGATAAAACACAAGTGTCCAAAGAAGGGAGGGCCGGAAGGGCCTCAGAAGTCACCCTAACTAAATGGGGAAACTGATGTGGGTGTGTCGGGGGCCGTGTGAAGTGGTGAGGTCACAGCGGCTAGGTCACAGCGGCCTTGAGGAGCCCAGTACCTGCTCTGGGCTCAGCGATGCTGCAGTGTCCCCGGTGACCTGGGCGCTGAGGGCCTCACAGCCGCAGCCCAGCCCTGACCACTGCTCCTGTCCCAACCAGGGCACAGCGCAGAGAGGGCTGCCTCCAAACCCCTGCGAAACTCGTGGGCCAGGTGAGACCACGGGGTGGACATGGCAGGCTTTCAGGACGGGGACAGCAATGTGCAGTGACGGACGGAGCTTGGACACCTCCCACCATTCACTTCATTTCCCCGGCACCTCCCACGATATCTGCTCACCCAGCGCTCACACCCATACACGCTGTCAATGTCCGCCTCTCACGGATGAGGAAACGGAGGCACAGAGAGGCTCTGTGAATTGCCCAAGTCACAAGCAGAAAGACCAAAGCCAGGCCAGGGACCCCACGTCCAGGCGTTTGAAGTTCAACCATTTGGGGGGTGGCATTAAGCGCCCACCAGGTACCCAGCCTCCTCCCAAGGGGGCAAACCCTCACCCTCGTGGCTGAGAATATTAGAGCACCCGCCCAGCCCCACACTTGACCACAGGTGTCCCAGGCCTGGCCCAGACAGCAGGACTTCCTGGAGAGGCCAAGAGCACAATCGTTCTCAAAGAAGGAGCCCCATCAGTTCTTCGCTGCCCGGGACCCTGTGCACATGCCCAGCACGGGCACCGGAGCCCCTCACACACCCAGGAGGATGTTCCTAGCAGGGTGCACAGCTGGACCCCACCCGGACGCTCAGCCTGACTCAGGGGGATGGTTCCGGGAAGGCTGGTTAAACACTGTCTGTCTGTCTGTCTCTCCACGTTGCTATCTTTGGTGCCTGATGGCAGCCTTGCCATTTCAGTGTGACCTAAATTGTTCTGGAAGCCGCACAGCACAGGAGAGCTCAGGCTGAGTGATGTCCCCACTCCTCCCGGCCATGCTGTCTTCTCTGGGGCCCCAGTGTCCCCATGTGAGAGGTCACGGCAGCTTCTGGTGATAAATTTAAGGACCCTGGCTGAAGACTGGCAGGTCTCAAACGGAGGGGGAGATCCTGTGGCTACCTGGCCTGGGAGCCCATCACAACCCTGGGCAGCCTGTTACACAGACGAGGAAACTGAGGCTGGGGCAGCAGCGAGCCCACAGCCATGCAGTGGGGAGTGCTTTGCCCACCTGCCTCCTGGAGGCCCTGCCGTCCATCAACCTGCCCGGCTCTTCCGGAAACCACCCCATTTCCGCTTAGACCACCTCCCAGGTAACGCGTTCCAGATGCTACGACCACCCCACGAGCACAGAGGGTGCTTTTGTGCACAAGACAAAATGGTGGACAGATCTGTCTCTGGGTGGACGAATGACCGGAAGCAGCAGGAAGGGTGGGCGATGCCTGTGTCAGCGCAGCTCGCATACCCACTGTGCACGGAGTTTACCCCACCAATGTCCATGGGCTCGTGGAGTGCAGGTCTCCGTCCATCACCCCAGGCGCTCAGCCATGCTGGCCCCATCCTCAGTGTCTGGGGCTCGGAAGCCCCCTCCCCCTCTCCCCTTCCCCCATCCCTTTGAAAACTCAATCTCTTCTCCAGACCTGCCCTGGGTCACTGACCGATGCCGTGTCCTCAGTGAGATGCCCGGTGGCGGGAGGGCAAGATAACAAGTTCTGTTTTGTCTCCAAACAAATGGGAGAAGGTGGCCCTCTGCATGGGCCTCAGTCTGGCTTCGGGGCAGCCAGCTGCCCCATGGGGCCCTCTCTTCCTGCAGACCCAGCGTGAGCCTCAGGGCTCCTGGTAGGTCAGGCACCCACACAGCCAGCCAGCCCTGCTGAGCAGGTCAGAGCTGCAGAATTGCCTTTCCACTCGAGTTCAAGGACCACAGCCTCTCAGGACCAGGTCCACACTGGATTGGACCACCCTGGCCAGTCCCTCTGGGACCAGGCTCCCCCAAGTCTCCCCAAGTGGACACTTCCCTGCCTTTGGATGGTCGAGGCCCAAGCACACATCCCTTGATGCCGGCAGGGAGTCTGAGGCCAGTGCTGGTGGAAACCACCAGAGTCAAAGCGACTCGGAGACCCTGCCTGGCCCTCAGGAAGTCCACCCTGACAAGCTTTCTGCCAGGATGGGCTGGATTGTGCCCCCAAAAAGATATGTTGGGGTCCTCTCCCCCGAAACCTTGGAATGCAACCTTATTTGGAAACAGCATCTTTACAGAGAGAATCAACTTCAAATGAGGCCGCTGCGGTGGGCCGTAATCCAAAACGCCTGTCCTTATAAGAATGGAAGACTGGGCAGAGATGCAGAGGGCAGAAAATGTGAGGACACGGGGAAGACAGCCGTCCACACGCCCAGGACAGAGGCCTCAGGGAGGACAGGCTGCCGACACCCGACCTCGGGCATCTGTATGCTCTGCTGTGCTTAAGCGCCCCGTTTGCAGTGCTTGTTCGGCAGGCCTAGCAGACAGACACCCAGCTCTGGCTGGCCCTCGGGGAGGCAGCTGGCTTGCACTTAAGGCCTTCCTGGACCACAGGGCATCACTGTCCCCCTCACTCAGCTGTGAGCGGCTGGCACTCGGTGAGGCGGCCCGAGCCTAAGAACCTGCCACCAGGTGGGCTGGGGCCCGGGCACCCTCCCAAGTTAGGTCATTTTTTTAGTCGAGTTCCAGAAATTTATAATCAGGTGTGTTCTGTACACCGAGGTACCTGCCACAGGGCCAGGCACACAGTTGGCACTCCATAAAGACTTATGGAGTGAGCAGACTCTCGTGGCATTCGTTTATCGTTTCAGCGCCGGCCGAATGAATAGCCTCAGGTCTACACGTCGTCATCCTTGGGTGATTACACGGCTGGGACTGTCTGCCGAGGGCCAACATGCACCCAGCCCCGGCCCTCTCTGCCTGGTGCGACCACAACTGACCAAGACTGTTGACCTCAGACTATCAAGCACCAGAGGCTCTGGGGAATGTGTGCACCCTTCCAAATTCCCAGAGAGCTGACCTTAGGCTGTTTATTTCCTGGAACAAAATGCGGCCCGGGGCGGGGAAGTGGCGCTGGGGCGGGGAGTGGGACAGACAGACGGAAAGCGCTTGGGCCTTCTCCAGGTACCTCCAGCACATCTGGAGTCAGTCCTGCGGGAAAGGGAGCAGAGAGAGAGTAGGGACAGACAGGGCTGACAGACAGGGAAAGAGCCGGAGACAGGCACGAACAGAAAAAGATGGAGAGAAGCAGACTCCACAAGGCGGAGGTGGAAAGATGGGGTTCAGGAGAGAGGCCCACGGCAGGCATGCTGGGACAGACATCAGGAGAGGTGACAGCGCTGGGGAGGAGGGGGCCGAGAGGGCCAGGTCCCAGGAACCCACCTCCTTGCACCTGGTGGACAAATGAGGCTCCTCACCAACTGCCAGGCTGCAGGGCTCCCCGGCCTGAAGCTGACCCTGCTCGCCACCTCAGCCCAGGGCAGGGCTCAGCCAGGAGGGTCCAGCCCTGGGGCTTCTGCAGTGGTCTGGGGTGGCGGTCCCCGGGGCCCTGGGCTGCCCCCAAGGAGGGGGCTGGCAGCCCCTCCCACGTCTATCCTGGAGCTTCTGCCTGGAAGGCAGCAAGCCCCCCCCTGGGAAACAGAAGGCCCCGGTCCCCAGGCAGCTTCCTGCTGACCTCATGCGGGAGTGGGGTCAGACCGGCCCAGGAAGGGAAGCTCTGCTGCCTCTGAGCTTCTGGGTGGGGGCCTCCGGGAGCGAGTCTCTCCTGACCCCCAACAGCAGGCGCGTCTAGAAGACGGTGAGGGGGGCGCCCCGTGCTTCTGGCTGGCCCTGACACCCTCCAGGGGATCCGCTCAGCCCCACCATGGGGCTGGGGGTGCAGAGGCCCAGCGGGCTCACAGCCCCACTTCCTGATACCCCACTCAGGCCATCCAGCCTCCACGGCCCCTCCTTCCTTAACGGGCCCTGGAACCCTGTGCTGCTGCTGGGAAGGGCTCCCTGCCCGGCCACTGGCTGGGCACCTGCCCCTCCTCCCGCTCCTAGAAACTGGGGGAAGGCCCTCCAGCCCAGACAGACTGTTTGTTCTGGGTGGTTCCTGCACTCACCTGGCCTCACTGGGAAACAGACCCTAAGGGCAGAGCCACCAGCAGGCACTGTGGCAGGCACCCTGACGCCCACATGCAGAAGTCCCACAGCTGTGGGGCAGGCACAGGCAGGCTGCTTCCCAGCTGGACAGTGCTGGGGAGCCCTGTCTCCCAACAACAGGGATTCACGCACACCTCCCAGGGTCCCTGTGGGGCCACCACAGCAGGTCACACTGCCTCCTGGAGCAGGGCCGCCTATGAACTCCTGGGCTGAGGCAGAACTAGGAGTCGGCGTCAGGCAGCTCAAGGCCCCACCGGGCTGGCTCAGCGCCCAGCGGCTCTCCCACAGCTGCTCTCCCTCTGAGGAGGGCCAAGAGGAAACGGGCTCCCGTGCAGCAGGAAGGACTGATATGAGACAAAGGGAAGGACTTCCTGGTGGCAACACTAGGAGACATGGAGACAGGATCTCCACTTTCCTGCTGCCCGAGGGTCTTCACAGGATGGGCAGTGTGGGGGTGTCTCACCCCAAGAGATTGGCCACCCTGCATTGCCCTTCACCACGGGGGGCCGGCGGGGCAGCTCAGGGTTTAAAGATGAGACTCCCTCCTCCTAGCCACCAGCTTGCCCAAAGGCACTGCAGGGACCAGAGCGGGGGGAGGTGTTTAAGACACAGACACAATAACATCAAAGGACTGGGGCGCAGGGACACGTGTTTGCTCACACGCAAGTGCAAACACACCCCACTCACACACATGTATTCCTTCAGCCAGGTCTATGGAGCCCCTGCTGCACCTCGCCACGTCTCGAAACCTGTGCCAGTGTCCTGAGCTGGCCGTAACAAATGACCACAAACTGGGCAGCTTCAAACAACAGATATTTATTCTCCACAGTGCTGGAGTCAGACATCTGACAGTGTCGCGGGGCCCGCCCCTTCTGGAGGCTCTGGACAGATCCTGTTCCGTGTCCCTCCCAGCTTCTGGTGGCTTCAGGCCTTCCTTAGCTTTATGGCCACATCACTCCAAACTCTGCCTCTGTGGTCACATGGCCACCCCCTCCTCCCTTCTGCACTCGCACCAGCACAGCCCTTACTTTACAACAACTGCCGAACTCCTACCATACCTACTGAGCCCCAAATGTGAGCCCTTATCTATAGACCTCCGACTACACTACACGCTGCTTCCGAGGACCTATCATGTGCCAGACATGGCCAGGCACAGGGGACACAGCTGTGAGCAGAGCAGATAGACACTCCCACCCACTGGAGCTGAAAGTCCAGTGGGCAGATGGGCAGCAGTCAAGTCAGCAGCACGATAAGGCGACGCCCGCGTGTGACGGGGCGGGTAGGGGCCCCCTCTTCCTCCTAGTCCTGGCCCTCACTACTCTGCAGAGTTGCCTTGAGCTTTTATGCATTCATTTGTTCACTGTCTGTCTCTGTGGCTCAAATGTCACTTCCTAAGGCAGGGGCCAAAGCCATGTTGTAAAGTACGCAGTACAGAGTACACAGCCAGCACCCAATGATGGTTAAATGAACACCTATAGATGCCTGTTTGTGCCAGCACGTGTACACACTCACGTGTGCGTGCGTGCCTGTGGTCACTCACAGGTGGTGCATGCTGAGATAGGTGTGCGTGCGCACACACACACACATACGCGCGCGGCCTCTAACCCAGCACAACTGGAGCAGATGGAAGATCCCGGGGCTCGGAAAGGCCCCAAATCTCCAGTGACATCCGTGCAGTCATCCTGAGGCTGCTGAGCTGGCAGGCCACTGTCTTTCCCTCCAATCACAGCTTCTCATGCTGGCCTCATCCAGGCCGTCCCCAGGCAGCCCCAGGCAGGACTCTGCATGCAGCCGGCGGGGCTCAGCCTGCCCACCTCTGTTCCTGGTCCCTCTCCCAGTCTTCACATCCTCAGCCCAAGCTGTCATGGCTCAGCTTCGGGTGTTCAATGTGGAAGCACACTCTGCCCCGTCTTCTGCCTCCCAAGGTGACCAGGCACCTCCCGGGGCAGGGAGCAGAGGTTGCTGCCCAAATGCCACATGGGGACTCCCCAGGAGGCCCCACAAACGCATGTCACAACCTCAGGCGGAAAGAGGAATTACAAACAGGCCCCTTTTTCAAAACGAACTTCTTGTTGTGAGCGGCGCTTGGGGACGGTCCCTGGGGATTGAGGGTACATCCCGGCGCAGGGGACGAGCCCCAGCTGCCAGCCCTGACTCTGCCTGACGTGCTCTGGGACCCGAACAAGGGCGTTGCCTCTCTGGGCCTCAGTTTCCCCATCTATGGAGCAAGAGGTCTGAGGGTAGCATCTAGAAGGTGCGGCCTCTGGCCTCTCCCTGCAGACACACTCCACCCACCCCTGGCTCCAGCCTGGACTTCTCAGGAGAACGAACGCCCTCAAGCATGCTTTCTGCAGCAGGCGCCTGAGCTGCAGGTGGCCTTCCCAGGGCGCCCTCCAAGCCTCTGTCCACCCAGCCCAGGCGCCCTCCTGTGCAGCTTTGCCCCTCCCGAGTGCACAGGAGGCGAGGCGGGGACCGGGGCCTCCCCACACAGAGCCGTCTCAGCAAGCCGGGTCAGTGGGTCCAGGGTGGGAACGAGATCCCCAAACACGGCAGGACCCCACCGCCACCTCATCGCCTATCACCGTTCACCCTAAGGTGAGGAGGCTTCAAGGGCCTGGGGGTCTCGGGCCTCCTGCTCAGTGTCCCTGAGCTGCAGCCTTAAAGGTGCCTGGACAGGCTGGAGGGGGGCAGTGCCACGCTCGAAGCCCTGAGTGACCCCTCCCCCTGAGCTGCTCGGCAGGTCCCGGGACAGTGGGGCTGACAGAGGGCCCGGCAGGACAGCTCTGCTGGCTTCTTCCTCGGGAGACAGCGGGAGGGGCGGCTGTGGCCGGGCCCAGGACGTGGGCCTGAGTCACCGCCTGACTAAGCCAGCGGGGGCGCCGGACGTCGTGGCTGCAGCCCAGCTCCACTTGGTGGACAGGCAAACTGAGACCATGAGGGGCAGCATCGGGGCCACGGCGGGCTGCGCCCCCCTTCTGGGCTGTGGTCCGCTAGTTCCTGCCTCAGTTTCCCCATGGGAGTCGGGGCACTCACATGAGGTCGGGCCGGTGGCGGTGCAGGATGGCGCAGAAGGCCAGGCCGTCGCGGAACGACGTGGTCATGTTGGTGATGCTCACGTCCCGGTAGCCCTCGCACTGCTGCCGGCACCACAGCTGCAGCGCCTTGAGGGCGGCCATGCGGACGGCGGGCCGCCCGGGAGGCAGAGACCGGGTAGAACCTTCCGGGAACCGAGGCTCGGCCGCCCCAGAAGACCAGGAGCCGGATCCCCGAGCCGGGAAGACGAGGACCCGCGACCGCCTTGCCCGCAGGAGCGCAGCCGGCGGGAGTGAGGCGGGAGGCCACCCGCACGCCCCCGCCGCACCACGGCCCCGCCCCTCCAGATCACGGTCCCGCCAGAGCCCCGCCCACCCGCCAGGGCGCCTGCACGCCGCCTCGCTGCCCTCGCAGCTGCCAGCCGGGGGAAGGGGAGGCACCCGCCCTGGGGTCCCGGCCCCCAGTGCTCCCGGGAGGCCTCGGGGTTGTTTCTTTTCAAGCCCCACCACCACCACCACCACCCTCATGAGTGGGGGTGCCAGGCAAAGCGAGGCTCACTCCTCATTTACAGAAGAGGCGACTGAGGCTGAGGCAGGGGCGTGGCGCCCGGGGTGGCCCAGGAGGAGGATGCACACCAAGGGGTCTGTCCCCGCAGGCTGCTCCTGGAGCATGAGAGGCATGCTAGGGGGCAGAGCGGGGGAATGATGATCCGTTGTTTCCCACTGTCCCTCTCTGAGCTTCTGTGACACAACTAAGGAAAAACACCTCTTGCAGGGCCCTCAATTATCAGAACGGCTCCCCTACACATTCTCAGGTGGAACCCTGTGTGTGGCCACGTGATGGACAGCCCTAAACGCCATGAATGTGAGAGCCCACCCACCCTTCCGCCCAGCCTTAGGGCTTGTCCGGACAAGGCCTGCAGGCAGGAAGGTGTTTTCCTGACAGTGGCTTCTCTGTGCCCACTTGAAGAAGCAGACACTGAGGTCATCCAGCCCAAAGCCAGCACTTGGCACTCCCGCTCCTTCCTGCAGCTGGGCCCTGAGGCGCGGACATCACATAGTGTGAGTGAGGTCTGTGTGCACACGGCCAGCTCCCTGTTGCAGGGGGTCTGCAAGCAGGTGCTCGACAGGGAGCCTCTGTGACCTGGGATTGCTGCTGGCCATGGCTGCTGCCCTGAGTTGCTGGGTGTTCCCAGCAAGAGTCCAAAGAGTGATGTTGTGCCAGTCAGGCCAGGCTGGTGTCTGGTCCCCGAGCAGGAATCAACCAGGAACCAACCGGGTTTTCTTGACCCTCAGGGCAGCAGTTAGGAGAACTGGAAAAGCCGGTGAGGAAGGGAGAGGCCAAGAAAGGGGGCAGGGCACAGGGCGTGGGACCCGTCTCCCTCAGAAGAGACAGTGGGGAGGCAGCTGGAGCTCTGGTTTTTAGAAGATTAAGTTGTATTCTTGCCCCCACCGATCACCACTTGGCCTCTTCTGGGGACAGTGACTTGGGAGGCAGCATTTGTGGTTGTGTCCCCACCAGCACCTCACACACAGCACTTCCTTCTATTGACAGCTCGTCTCCAGGACCCACACACCAGGACACCCCCAGTCCATCCACTTCTCCCCATTGCCACCCCTGCCATCCAGGCCACCCTCATCTCGCCCCTGACCACTGTGCCAGTCTCCCTAAGCTTCCTCCTGCCCTCCAGCAACCATAGTTCACCCCTCCCCATAGCTGAGGGTTCTAGAACACCAATCGGACAAGCCCTTTCCTGCTTGGCCTCCACAGCACCCTGAATAAAGTCCGGGCCTTATCACGCCTTCTAGCCTTTATCACCCTGCTGCCCTGGCCTCACCCTCCCACCGCCCTGCCCCACGGTCCCTGCACTCAGCCACTCCTCCTCCTCCTGGAGCCCACACCAGACCCACCCACAGCCGACAGACATGGCCACTGATGGCGACTCCATCTGGCCAGTTACTCGGGTCAAAAGCCAGGCGTGCTCCTTGCCTCTTGTCCTCTCATTGAAACTGACCACGGCCACCACCACCCCCATGGCCGCCTCCCCAGCCCCCTCTGGTGAGAGCCTGGATTTGTCCAGGAGCCTTCTAACCTGCTCTGCTTCTGCCTTGCCACCCAGGCTATTGTCAACACCGAATCTTTAACAGTGGGCGCCAGAGCGTGCCGCCCTGCCCAAAGCCCTCCTGAGACCCCCGCCTCGTGGTGAAAACACAGTCCTTATAATGCACCCTCCGGCCCTGTCCCTAGCCCGTGCCTCGCACCTCCCCTATGACTGCCCCTCGGACATCCTCGTGTCCCTGCCTCAGGGCCTTTGTGCTCTGTCTGGGCCAAATTTTCCTGCCTCCCTTGCTGGTAGGTGGGGCCGTGTGGCTGAGTTCTGGCCAGTGGAGGTGACGTGTGCACCTCCAGACTCCACTTCCCTGGTCCTCTGGCTGGGTGAAAAGGACGTACTAGATGACGGGGCCACAGATGGAGGAGCCTGGACACTGCAAGGTCAGGCGGGGGCCACCACTGACCAGGAACAGCTGTGCTGGCCCCTGGATGAGTGAGAAATAAATGTGAGCTGCGTTCAGTTGCTGGACACGCGATCTGTTTGTTACAGCAGCTAGCTAGCATCCTTCCCTGACTGACACGTGGACACAAGCAGATGCTGTGCTGCACCTGTGACAGCTCCAAGGCGACACACGGTGCCGCTCGATGGTGAAAGACGGGCTTCTGTCTTGGCTGGTAGGCCAGAGATGGCTTTCCCAAAGGGGGACATGAGAACTAAGGCCTAAAGGATACGTGGGTGTGTCAGAGGGTGTGGAAGCACTCCCCAGGCGGAGGGACTGGTGGGAGGAAGGAAGAAGCCCAAGGAAGTCTGACAGAAGAAGTGGAAGGAGGGAGCGGGGCCCAGCCAGCCTCGCTCCAACCTCTCCTTGCACTTTTCAGGCCCGTTTTCTCATTAAACTTACAGCCACCCTTTAAAAGTGGGTTCACCCTACCTATTCTGCAGCTCAAGAAACAGGTCCTGAGAAGAGAGGGGCCGACCTGATCAGCCAGGCAGAGCCTGGGCTGAGGGGCCTGGCCCCAACGCAGGTGAAGGCCGGAGGAGCCGCGGTCAGCCCAGGCCGGCGTCCTGCACAAATGCCGCCCCTTCTGGTCAGGACTTCCAGGCCACACAGTCTCTTTTCCCCACCTCCTGCTGCCAGCATGAGGCCTGACCCTCAGTGCCGTGGAGGGGCAGTGCTGGGGCCCCGGCAGGGGCAGGCCCAGAGGATCATGAATTTTTATTCAAAGCCAGCTCCAGCTTGTGCATCAGCTCAGCTCCTGGAGGAGGGCTTGAGGGGCTTCTGTGCCACTAGGAGGGGCTGCGGTGATGGGAACTGGGCCCCACGCCTTGGAGTGTAGACCTTCAGCTGGTAGATTCAACTCCAAGTAACTGATTTGACCAAGGTCAAGGGACGGAGCTAGAACAGATCAGGGTTGCCTGTCCAAACACACCGGCAGTGCTTGGAGCCTTCGAGGCAGAGAAGAGAAACCAGGAGAGGGGGTGGGGGATGGAGAGAAGAAGAAGAGGTGTGTGTCTGAGCCTTCACGCCAAGGGAGTGGCCACAAGGTACCTCGGTTCCCAAACCAGCCTGCCTGTGGAACCCCTGCTGCAGGGTTGTGTCACTGAGAGTTCCACAGGACAAAAGTGGGCCTCGCGCAAACGGCAGGGCTCAGAGCCAGACAGCGGCCCAAGTGGGGATCCTTGCTCAGACGCTGGCTTGGCCCGTAACCCACATTGGTCACTCACTTTCCCGAGCCTTCTCCTCCTCTTCGTGGGAAGACAGCCTCTCCGTCCGTCCAGGGCACGTTCTGGGAGGGTGGCACCAGGGCCAACCTGTGGAAGGAAATGTGGCTCCCTGCCCGGCCCACAGTGATCGTGGCTGCAGGAGACAGACCCTCGGGGGAGGCGGGCAGAGCCCCCACAGTGAACACCAGCCCCCTAGCACCTGCCCAGGAGGGACCATGGAGGGGTCCTTCACAACAGGACGTCCAAGGGATGTCCCTCCTCCCCCGATTCCCAAGGCTGTGCCCCAGGCAGGAGAGGGGGCTGGAGGCTGTGACACCCCACTTGAAGGGGCCACCATTAATTAATTAGGCCCCATGAATAATGCATGCTGCCTCGGGTGTATTAATAGCGTACGCATACGGCGGGCTACGGGTAGCGTACATCCTCGTCGGAGCACCTCACAAATAATTCAGACCCTGGTCCTCCGCAGGCTGGGGAGAAGCGGCCAGGGCTTCCGCGGGGCTCGCGGCGGCTTCCAACAGCCCAGCTTTACATTTCATTATAAATGGCTTTGCTGGGCATGTCTGCAACTTTTACATTTCCATCCACTTTATTATTAATGGCTTTCCTGAACTGTAGCAGCCCAACGTCGCACACAATGCGTTATAAATATTTGATCCACATCTATAGTCTGCCATTTATCATTTATAACGGGTTACAAAAACATTATAAAACATTTACCGCCCATTTATAGATCATTTTTGGCTACCGCAACGATGTGTTATAAATACATTATTAATCCTCTTCACACCATTATAGGAACCCCGTGTAATGGGGCCCAGCCCTCTCGCTCCTGATGCAGAGTGTGCAAGGCTGGCAGGGGTGGCCGGGGGCAGGGCCAGGGGCATGGGAGCCCTGCCCTGCCTGTGATCGCTATGTATCCTTGGCCAGATACAGCACCTCTCTGTTCATACAGGTCAGCGACCGCCGCCCTTTGCTGAGTACTTCCTGTGTGTCAGGCGCTGCTCACAGCCCTGAGCCCGTCACTATGTTCATGTCCGTTTTACAGACGTGGAAAGGGGAGGGATTTGCCCAAAGCCATAGCCATGGAGAGCTGGCATCAGAGCCTGGGATGTCTGTCTGTTCCTCTAGTGTTACCTATCCTGGGTTGGGGTGAGAGGTCAGACAAGGCTACCCCTGGCCTTAAGGGGGGCAGGACTGACAACTCAGGAAGTGGAACTCAAAGGATCAGAGTGCTTGAGGTGGGGTCCCTGGGTGGGGAGCCCTGGGGCGAGGGGCCCACACTCTGGCCTCTGACCTGGCAGCCCTCAGCTCCTGCGGCTACGTGCTTCGCCATCCCAAAGGCTCTTCAAGCTGGAACTCTGGCCTGTGGGCTCCTGGGCTGCTGTCTGTAATGAGGGGTTTGGGACCCAGCAGCCCCTCCACAGCACCCAGCTCTAACTTCAGTGTCCTTAGGAGGCCCCCAGGAGACTGAGGACAGCAGTCACAGCCCTGGTATGCAGATCAGGTGGTG